ATGACAGTTTAAACTGTAAGAAGATAGTGGAGTGACAGTGTGTCTATGACAGTTTAAACTGTAGGAAGATAGTAGAGTGACAGAGTGTCTATGACAGTTTAAACTGTAAGAAGATAGTGGAGTGACAGTGTGTCTATGACAGTTTAAACTGTAGGAAGATAGTGGAGTGACAGAGTGTCTATGACAGTTTAAACTGTAAGAAGATAGTGGAGTGACAGTGTGTCTATGACAGTTTAAACTGTAGGAAGATAGTAGAGTGACAGAGTGTCTATGACAGTTTAAACTGTAAGAAGATAGTGGAGTGACAGTGTGTCTATGACAGTTTAAATTGTAGGAAGATAGTGGAGTGACAGAGTGTCTATGGCAGTTTAAACTGTAGGAAGATACTGGAGTGACAGAGTGTCTATGACAGTTTAAACTGTAAGAAGATAGTGGAGTGACAGTGTGTCTATGACAGTTTAAACTGTAGGAAGATAGTGGAGTGACAGAGTGTCTATGACAGTTTAAACTGTAGGAAGATAGTGGAGTGACAGTGTGTCTATGACAGTTTAAACTGTAGGAAGATAGTGGAGTGACAGTGTGTCTATGACAGTTTAAACTGTAGGAAGATAGTGGAGTGACAGTGTGTCTATGAAAGCTGTCATAGACACACTGTCACTCCACTATCTTCCTACAGTTTATACTGTCATAGACACACTGTCACTCCACTATCTTCCTACAGCTTAAACTGAAATTGTTGGAAGATAGTGGAGTGACAGAATATCTTCCGATAGTTTAAACTATAGGAAGACAGTGGAGTGACAGTGTTTAAACTGTCATAGACAACTATCTTCCTACAGTTTAAACTGTCATAGACATGGGGCTGTTGACTAGCTGCCTCCTATCTAGTTTCTTAGTTCAATCTAAGGGAGAGCTATAGTACTACCGATAGCCTAAGTGAATATTTGTCAAATATTTAGAACAAAGAAACATTACTGCAGCTTATAGCTTATAATTTGTTATTGTGATGCTGATATAGATTTATTAATCTGCTTTGAAATAAACTACAGATAAGATTATTTTCATCTAGGTTGTGTAATTAAAACTTGTAGTTTTTAATTTGCTATTCGATTGTTAGTAATTGTATCAATAAAAGTTTATGCTTAAAATGTTTAATGCGTTAATCCTTTGTCATCATAAAGAAATACTTAATGTTATACACCATGGTAGTTAAACAGTAGAGAAGAGTTACTCACTCTGCAAGCCAAAAGTTCTAGTTTCAAGAACAGATCTAGGACACACTTTGCTACACAACATTGTCCCCTCCATAGACTGCAAATTCCCTAAGCAAACATAATACACAGTAAAATCATAATATATTAAAATAAAACTTATATAGTTAATAATAAAGTCACTATTTAAAATTAACAAAAATGATTATTCATATAAGATTATAATCACTAAATATGTATTTAAATCTATTAAAGAGAGTGCAACCAAAATGATGACTAACAAAGCAAAATGTTAATAGTTATGTTATTTACTCTTCGTTCACGAAATATTTCTGATCATTTCCCTTTCCCTCCTTTATAACATCTAAGCGTCCAACTGTAGGAAGATAGTGGAGTGACAGAACTGCAAACTCTTGGGCGAATAGTGGTATTTAATCGTCACCTTCATAAGGCACCCACGTTAAAAAAGTGCAGATTGTGCAGAAAAAAAGTGCAGAAAGGACACGAACCATGGATCCTCGGTTTCACATTCAGGTACTCTAACCTTTATTTCACGCCTCATCAAACCTTCTGCAGTAATTAAAAAACAAGCCTTTTTATGGTATTTCGTGGATTTTTCGACGATAAAATTGTTTGTTGAAAACTGTACAGAAAAATGTTCTGTAGAGATCAATGTTTCAAACCACTACTATCTGCCTTTACAAATATACACATTTCAGTTTGTTTATTTATAAAATTTTATTCCTGTTCAAATATTCTATGCTAAAATATAAGAAATGGTTTCATTTGTTCATCTTGATTCCTAATACACATTTAGGAGATTGTGTACGTTCTATTAAAACAACTTTGAATATGCAAGTTAGTACGTTACATGACCACAGCTGACCTATAGTCGCAGTTGAACCAAATGTTTCAACCCAGCCATGTTCAACAGAGTGAGGTGTCTTGTAAAAGGTGATAATCCACAAACACAAAGGCAAGTAACAAAAGCCATCCACGTGTTACATACAGTAGTACGCAACACAATCAGGAAAGATCTCTGTTTGATAAAGTGACACAAGTCACGTGTACACGGATTATTTGCACGACATATGAGGTTAACAATTGCATACTTGAAGCAGTTGGAAAATAAAACGGAGGTGTCTATACGATTCCATCAAATCAGTAGATTCAGCAATTATGGATTTCTGTGCGATTAGACTGTTGAAATAAGCCTTGTGGACCGTTATCCTCTTACAGTAAAGGGATTATCGAAAGTGTGCAAAAAGGAACATTGTGCTTTGAATATGACAGCCTTATGCCAGAGCCTTTTGCAATGGAAACTGTGTATAGAGCTATTATCAAGATAAATAATCATCAGACGGAGCATGATCAGACGTAGTAAGGCTCCCAAATCAATTTAGTATCAGCGTACTCGACCCCCAAATCCTTCAACGTGTTTGCAATGAGTTTGCGGAGTTACAATGCTAAAATCCTGGGATACTGTCCACACTATGTACAAAATACAGATAGCCCATTGTGTACATTTTCGCTAAGAAAAAGAACGCTTATACAATACATAATTTACAGCTAGAAGTAAAATGGTTAAATATCATTATTTGGTAAGGTTTTTTATTGTTAATTTTAAAGAGCTTTAAGATAGTCATATAATGATTATAAAGTAATAAAATTTTTACATTTCAATACTTCAGTGAAATGAAGTTGTAGGACGTTTAGTAATCGTCAATAACCTGATACAATTTCTCAGATATGTTTTATTAAGAATCGATTAAAAAGGATACCAGAAAGCCACTTTCAACAGTATACTTAATGTCTATAGCTTGTACAAGACGATGGAATTTTTTTCAGAGATATTTTGCTATAAATTAGATAATTGTTATAGTGACTCAAGAATAACCATTTCAGAAAATTATTTGTAAAGCACTGTTTCTATATATTTACTAAATCGTTTTATAATCTCAATAGAAAGTTGAATCATCTTTTCACAAAGTTCGTCCACTGAAGAAATATTTCATCTGAGTTGTGTTCATTTCGAATCCCCGTCCCACCAAACATGCTCGCCCTTTCAACCTTGGGGGCGTTATAATGTGACGGTCAATCCTACTATTCGTTGGTAAAAGAATTAACGGTGGGTGGTGATGACTAGCTGTCTTCCCTCTATACTTACACTGCTAAATTAGGGACGGCTAACGCAGATAGCCCTCCTGTAGCTTTGCGCAAAATTCATAACAAACATCATTTTAACATTTTATTTCTACATTGGCAACTGTTTCTTTGAGGGAATGACTGTCATCTCAATTAATTACGCGGAGAAATTCGAAGATAGTGAAACTTGGCGTCCCACGTTAGCTCGAAAGTCCCATCGAAATTTGGTTTCTCACCATCTGGTAGAGCCACGGTGAAACGCTGAAGAATCGACGTGAAGTACAAAAACACTTCTATTACGCCTAATGTTTCCCCGGGACAAGAGCGTTTACCTTTAGAAAAAAATTAAGAGAATGTTAAATGTACTATTGAAAACCAAAATGATTTTTTAATCTTAAAAAAAAACAAAAAACTTTAAACTATTACAGGTGAAAATCTATAATATTAATTTTATGACGGAGTGTTTATCATCCACGATATAGCAAGTTTTTCGGAAGATCCAATTTAATATAAGATGTCTCAGCGAAAGGTGCTGTACATAATATTTGTAGTTATTATAATTTTATTACTTATGATAAATTAAAATAATAATTTTTATTAATGTTAACGGATCTTTCAACTTGCTGATTATTCTTCATTTTGCATTTGAAAAAGCTAAAAAGTACAGGTTCTAATAACCTGTTTTGTTTGCACAAAACAAATATTTTCAGTATTGTTTTATTAGTAGTGGTTGCATCTATCTGTAGACTGGGAAAAATAATTTAAGACATTGTCGAATATCGAACAGAGGCTAAACCTGTGTATCCTAACTCGAAATTGCTCTTTCAAAGTTGTTATTCTCGTGGATTAATGTTTAATTAAGATTTTCGATACCAATAGTTCAATATAAGGAGAGTTGTATGCAAAATACAGATGCAAGGAATCTAGGAAAATCAGCACGTTAATCAGCTAATGTCAATAAAGAGTTACGCTTCAAAGTTCCACAGAAATTGTTTTGTTTTGTCACCGATTATGATAACTATATCCTCTGAAACAGTTTTTAGACTTTAAACGGTTAGCCTGAACATTGTGTAACTAAACAGGTGCGTTGTGGGAAAAAAGATAAATAAATCTGAGACAAAGCCCTTATAACTAGTAAAAGTATTTTTAAGTTATAATAATTTTTTCAGTTCATAACTGTTAATAAATACTTTATTTTACCCCAACAAAAAAGGGTAAAAAGAAAATGCAATATATTCTTACCAATAGAGAATGGAATGAAATATTCAGGTTTTTCCAGTGTGGTACCATCCTGGCTAAGAAAATGTTCTGGAAAGAAAACGTCAGGGTTCTTCCAGTACCTGTGGTCGTGATGAACGGCCCAAATATTTGCTAAGACGAATGTTCCTTTAGGAATGTTATACCCTTGAACACTTGTGTCTGCTGTTGTACTGGGGAAGAATTTAGACATGCATATAGTTTTTAAAATTTATAATATAAAACAATATAAAAAATTAACTTTCTCTGTCATTTGACTTTGTTTCTTCCATTCCAATATAAAAGGTGTTACTGTTTTCTTTGGTACACAATGATTTATCTTCCAAAAAAAAGAAGTTTTACTGGCCAATAATTATGCTCATTTTAAAATTCAACTGTCATCCGTTTTACAATAGCTATTATTTGACCTTTATTGTATGTTTCATTCTACAGTAGAAAAACAGAGTTTTGAAGAAACGAATTTCTTATTCGTTCACAGCAAATCGGTCATTTAAAAAAATATTATTAGACTATTCAGTATTTGAAAGTTAAATGAAAAGCATAGATGTTAAAATTTGAACTTCTTAAAAATTAAATAATGTTTAAAACTCAAAGGTAAACATTTAAGGAAATGAGTCAAAAGCTTCAATTATAAGTCTATTTGACCCTCAGTAATTCAATGATAACATACCGCTACAAATTAGGTTTTGATACTTGTGGTGAATCCATTATGTAGCTTTGTGCTAACAAAAAAAAAACTAAGTTTACTTTATTAACACTCGAACATTTACGTAGAAAATATTCCACAATATTCACTTTTTATTGAGAAATACGATATATTTGATGATTCACTTGTTTATTTTCTGTTACAACGAAATCATTTGCCTGCAAGGAGCATCACCAGAAAATTGTTTTCACAAGAACATTTTTTTTTATCCATTGAGCTTAACCTATGTACAAAGAAAGTAATGGGATATTCTTTTAGAATTTCGGCACAGCTAATATAATAAATAATTTTCGCTAATCACATCTGTTCTATGCATACCAAAGTAGTTAAGATTGTAATAACTAACTTGTGTAGAGCCATGAAGAAAACTAAAATTTGATATGTAGTACGTGCATGTAAGAGCACTACAATAATTTATATGATAAATATATTGCATGTACGAATTTCAGTTTGTATTATGTATTGCTTATTTTTTACTTTTTAAAAGAACTACATCCATAACAGCCTTCAAAATGCTACACTGGTTTAAAAAGTTAAGAAACATGAATATCCAAAGAAATATTTTCTCCACTAGAAATTAGTTGATTATATATGACTCCATCTAACACTTGCTGTTGTTACCACAAGCGCTTATATTCGTTTCTATGTTGTTTCCAAAACTGATTCTAAAAACAAAACATTACTTTCGTTAACAAGCTAAATTTATTTTTCGGTGTTTCTGCACAATTGTTTTAAGGTTATATCACGACAGTTGTGAATCTAAATAAAATAAAATATCAGTCGTAAATACGATATACAGTCTCTGTACTCTAATTGAAATGTGTTAAAATTTAAGTTAACAAAAACATATGCATTAAGCACATGATGCCCAGAATTATTTATCCATATTGAGTATTACAGCTTTTCTTTTGACACTTTGCTAAAATTAGTAAGGACGAGCAAGTTTTTGATTTTAAAAGTGACTAAGCCATAAAAAGAGTTGGCTCAGTAAAATAACTTAACTAATCTACTTATTTAACATTATGATTTATGTGACTTACTATGCTACTGACAATTAAAAACATGAAATGTTATTTCAATAAAATAAAGAAGCCTTACTATCTTAGTAGATTTAAGGGTATTATAGTCTGCCACCTTTGAACTTCAAAAAGAACTGATTGAGTGTAAGGGAGATTTTTATAATCAGCCCAAGATGGTGATCGTTCTGAACCAATAACACTGTCAATCTCCTTTTGCACTAGCTTCTGAACGTCGGAGTAGGCGGCCATCGTTAGAAGACACCATTCAGTTGTTGTCCGCACAGTTCCGGTTCCAGCACCAAACAGAGCCTGAACATTTCCATTTAACATACTGTCTGCAAACACAGTGATAAGTTTCATCTGTTAGTATGACGATGCAATATGTTAATTTCATAGAATTAAAGACTTTTATTTTTATTAATATATATATCGTTCATTGTTGTATTAATCAAATATTCCACACAAGGCTGAGTTACATCACTCATGTGAACACATTATCATCGATTAGGATTAATGTTCAGTTGCATTTTGAGATACAAATAGATTAAATTTCAAATCAAAATTTTCACAAAACCAATTTTGAGACCATGAGACAAAAATAATTATTGATTCATTCGTAAAATGAGTTAAAAGATGATGTGGGAAATTTCAAAATAAATTTATTTTGCTTCAAGACAAGCACGTCCCTGAAAATAGGAAAAGAATAACAGAGAAGGTCAAACCTAATTGGTTTCCTAAAGATATATAGGATATAATCAGGGACTAGTGCCATAAGTTCAAAAATGAAGAGATGAAAGAATTACAGAACTGTGGTGTTCACTGTTTTACCTTTGATTATTTGGTTAGAAGCCACGAATAACTAGAGGTTCACCAACCTCGTTCTTCTGGCAATGGAATTTCATTAAAACTAACATATCGTTTCCTTTCAGGTAGAAGTTTATTACAGCTAAAACCAACAACGAAGCAATACCGCACAGTAAAACTGCATGCTTCTTGCAATGTTTAAATTTGCATGGAAGAAAATGTTCAAGAATAACCAAATAAAACACTAGATACACCAAATTTTCATTTAATATAACTTATGATACTGTTTGTGAATTTCATTTTATATAGATAATTTCACGAATATTTGAATTCAATCTAATCGAAATATTGCTTGGTACTGCTTATGTAAACAGTAGATCAAATTATGTTTTCTTCCAACCATAGCGTGAGCCTAGTCATTACTCTTATCTCGTCCATGATATTCCACTACCTGCCAAATATTTCAATGTCGAAACTGAAACATTCTTCTGTCAACTTTAAAGAGAATATCAGGTGCATTGTATCTTCAACTAATTCTTGAACAGCCAGTAATCACAGTTAATTTCACGTCTTAAAGGCATAACATCTGCATCAAATCGTTTTTATTTCAATTAATATTTTGCATGATAGTTGTGTTCTCATTGTAAGACATCCATTTGTATCATGCAACACTCAAGAATGACACACACGGGTGCAACATT